AAGCTATTGTGATAGTTGAAATCCACGGGCAACCTTTCTAGTAACAGAAAGGTTGAGGTAACCGAATAACTTCCTTTATTTGATTGTTTATTGTAACTGTTTATGAGTATGCTATGTAATGCATGAAATGGTTTTGAACTAAGTATGTTTTATAGTATTGCGTGATTGTTGCGTGAAATGACTTTTGATTGAAATAAAGCATTGAAATGTGTGATTTCAAATGGCATGTATTAAATATAGATGTTATGTGTAAGATGGTATATAAAGTAGTAATAAGGAACATAAATAGTTCAAAAAACATGATCATAGGAGTGAGAGTTCATCCAAATGGAGAGGTGATGATAAGGCTATATGGCATATTCTACTTAGTGCCCGGCAAGGTGCAGTGTTGGAGAAAATTCTCCTTAGTATCTTAGAAGGTGCAATATTGGAGAATATCTCCTAGTACTTATTGAGGTGTGATGTTAGAGATGTAAGACTCCTTAGTGTCTATGTGATATGGTGTTGGAGTTACAACACCCCATTGTGTGTATTAGGGAAAACCATAGTCCGTATGTGCGATAAAACATCTTTGGTCGGGTGACTCTACCGCTATAGGTGAGCTCAAGGCCAATAAAAATGTACATTGGTCTAAGGCGAGCATATGGTTTTGTGTTGGGATGATTTAGAGGTTCAATCAGTAGTGATCACGCTATGAGATGCTATGGAATGATATCTGAAAGTGGTGAAAAGGGGGGAATGAATATGTTATATGAATATGAATGGAAATGAGATATGTGATATAAATGCTATTTCAATGAGATTTAAATGGTATACTATACTTTACTTCCATATTGTTGCATGTGATAGTCAATAGGAGTGAGTCATTCTATTACTGAGATTTTTATTTCACCCCTATGGTTACATGTTTACAGGATCGAGCAGCATAAGGGAAGAGAGTTTAGACTGACTTGAGTTATAAAGCCGTGTATACTTTGAAATTGTGTAATGAATTGAGAAACTTGTGTGTATATGTGTACATGAGTTGCCATAGGGTTACATGTGTGACTTAGTAGTTATTTTGTAAAATCTTAGCCCAATTGTATGTATATATGATGGAATAAATTAAGGGGCTGTGATTTGGTTATGTTTATGTTGAAGTTGTTGATTGTTGGTGAATCTTAAGCCCAAGTGAAAAATCATGATGAAATGAGCAATTTGAAATTAAGATTGTAATGTGAATTTGAATATATGTTTATATTGAGAGAAAGGCTAAGTGGCCTATATTGTGCCAAGTGTAGGCTAATTGTGTAAATGTGTGAAAAGTAAAAATTGACTGTAAAAGGGTCAAATTTTGATATATGTATATGATTGTAATGAATTGTGGTTAATTAGGTATATTGTGTTCTTTTGGACTTGATTTAAGACCTTATGTAGTCTAATGAGAGAAAGAGATCAATTTGAGCGTTTGGGTGTGTAAAATTTTCATAAAAAGTTACTTTTTATACTTGGGTGTTTAAATTTTGATCAGACCATTAGATCGTGTCTAAACTTATCTCATTAGTTAGCTTATGAGTTAAGCTACATGTGGGCACTTGAATCACTCTGATTAATATTATATGTGAAAATGGCGCACGTTGAAAGTTCATCATTTTTTCTGTCAAAATGACAATAGAAAATTAGATAAGCGTGCCACATCGCATGGTGGCACATGCTGTGGCGCATGATACAGAAAAGTTGAATGTATGGCTCTGTGCCGCACGCCGTGATGCATGGACCATTTTCTAACTTGGTATTTTGAATTTAGATGCATGTAATGATTGAGATGGGTTTATATGAGTCTTTTTTGTTGCATATTGCTCTGATTACATTGTGATTTGAATGATTTTGTAAAATGAATCTTAAGCCCAAGCTTTTCAAACAAAACATTTGATTATTGATTGGTGCTTTTGATGTAGTAATTTTGTTAATTTTCTCATGTATCTGGAGGACATATGGGAGGGTTACATTATATATGTGTACAAATATTTGACAATATTTTTATTTACTTGTCTATGAACTTTGAAAGCAGCGCGTTTAGCACACAAAATCTATGATTTTTACTCCAATTTTATGTTGAACATGCCATTTGTTTTTCTTATTTTCATATAAATTAAGTAAATACTACTTTTGTAGTAGCTTCTTAATTTATATATCTTATCTATATATCCTAAGTATTTGTCGTGGGAGCAGTAACCATATGACTTTTTTTTTAATATTTTCTTTCCATTTTACATGGTATTTTCTAATTTTGAATAGTAAATAAAAATAAAAGTATAACATAATTCCTAATAAAAAGATAGTTGTAAAACCTATAGTAAAATAAGTACTCCTTTGTTGAAAAATATAAGACATTTTTTATTTTTTAATTTATAATTAATGATTTTTTAAAACTATCTTTAATAGATAAATTATTCAATCCTTCATTAAGTGAAACATTATATTAAATAAAGGCAAGTAAAAAAAGATACTGTTTGTTTAAAGACAATTAATTAACATATTTTATGTAAATTTATAATTTGAAGTAATGTTACTTAAAATTTTAATTTTATAATTTTACCATTAAAAACTTCCCTAATCTTTATCCCTCTCTAATTAAATTGAAGATTTATGTCCCCTAGATTGCATGGGTACAAAATCTAGTTCATACAAGGATAGTAGTTTAAGCTCAAAGTTTTGAACTAGTGAGTTGAACTAGTGAGCAGAAAAATGTGTCCTTCAAAGCATGTGCTCATGAAAGCAGGGGAGCCAATTCTAAAAGTTGTAATACAATTGACATTATTTGCAAACTAGATTTTAGTACCATGTTTCATGTAGAGTTTGAAGTTAACTCATTAGTTATACCTTATGAATGGTGTTGCTTATTATAAATTATATGGAGAATTTTAGTAGATAGGGGTGTGACATAATAATAAGTAAGGCCTATTACAAACTGAATTTTTAGTTTAGTCTAAGAAGACTGAAATGAAATTAATTTAAATAATAAAAGAATTGAAATAGCTTATTTTTAAACATTAAAATAATGGTGATCAGATTTACATGTAATATTGAGAAATTAAAAATTAAAATTGAAAAATTAACAACTAAATTGTTCCCTAAATTACCCGTTCAATCAGTTTATTTGGATTTATGAAGCAATATCAATTGTTAATTTGTCAACTATACTCATTGATTCCCAACATCACTTGTAAATTACTTTACTTGATTGATGATCTTTAATTTGTTCAATCAATTTATTTGAACTTATGAAACTACATCAATTGTTAATATAGCTACTTTTTAATTCCCTAACATCACTTGTACATTATTTGACTTGACTTGTTAATTTTTAAGAAAATGAAAAGACTTGTTAAATCAATTTATTCAAATTTATGAAATAATTTTAGTTGTTAATTTCTTAATTTTAATTGTCAATTTCCCAACATTACATGTAAATTTGACTGTTATTTTTTTAACGTTTAAATAGATGTTATTTTGATCTTTTCATCATTTAAATTAATTTTATTTTAGTCTTGTTGAACTGAATTAATGGGCCTTATTTATTATCATGTCGCATCTCTGACCCTTTGCTGAAATTTTTCCTAAATTATATACATCTACAGGTGCATATATTGGTTCAATGAGATAGAGAAACTGATAATAAGAGCTTAAAAGTTTGAAATTCGAATTGAACGAAGATATAGTATAAGTTGAGGTTAGATCAGTAATGCTGAAATGAGAAAAATGGTCAATGTTAGCATTTGATATTAGAGGTTAAGATATGGAATCCATGCATTGAGGTCCAAAGTTTTTCTTCCTTCTTGAAAAGCCTGCAAAAGGAATTATCAACAAATAGATAAGCATTTTTATTTAATTTTTTTAATCTAATATAACATGCTTAATTTACTGGCACGAATGACACAACAAAAACAAATAACATATAAAATATTCCCTTTTGTGGTACGAGTATGCTTCACTCATAAATTACGCTTGGAATGTGCAGATGGAGAGCACGAGGATGCCAATTTGCTTGGAGCAATCAGATAACATTTTAAAAGCAGGGAAATGGAGTGAGATACCAAGAAAGGAGCATGTTTGGAGCTAAATAAATATATTCCATAGACCATTTGGATCCCTTTTGTCCTCGTGTTTTCTTGGACTAGTGGAAGACCATGTCTCTTGTTTATTTCTAGTGGAGAATGTTGTGTTGATTTTTGAAGGTTAAATATTATTTTTACTCTCAAAGTATTTGCTTAAATTTTTTTGTTAATTTATTGATAAAGTATTGTGTAGTTTTTTCTTTTTATTTATTCTCTCCACTTTCTTTCCATTTCTTTCTCTCTTCTTTTCTTTCTTTCACTCATATGTAAAGGATAGCTCAAAGCTTAAAAAGTCAATAAATCCATCAAACAGATTTAGGACACGTTTTAGTATTTCTTTAAAGCACTTTCAAATCACATTTGTGATGTGATTTTGTCAAATTTATCAAATAATTGAATTCCCTAAATGTGCTTTTATCATATGTAAACTAAAAATCAAACATACATTTAATTATTAGATTCCCTGTCATCTATTCTATCCAACCTATTTTTGCCATTAATCTTAGATACTAAGGTAAAATTATGATTTAATAGATTAAAACATGAAACAAAATGAGGTGGACAAGATCATTAATTTGCTGAATTATAATTTCACATCAGCACAGATTGAGAGTGTTAGTTACAAGATTACATGTTTAAAATTGTTAGTATTATCTCATCATCTTTCTAGAAATATTATAAAAATAAAAAGGCTAACATTACATATAAGATAACTTGGAGGAACAAAAGATCTTATAAAAATTTATATCAAAACATAATAAAATTTAGATGATCTTATAATTATATTTTTTCGGATTAACGGGTTAGATTTTTTTTTAAAAAAAATTTCTGACACCAAAATGACGTGGTTTTGGGTTTTAGAAAATAAAAATAAAAAATAAAAAAAATAGGAGCCCAAAATTCTCAGCCTCGTCACGTGCAGTCCTGACCCTGGAAACCTTCACTCCTCGGCCGACCTAGTGTCTCTCCTTCCTTCGACCTTCTCGGCTTTCCCGGCAGTCGGCGTTCTCGTCTGCGATTTGCTTCACCTCCGGCAGCTTCGGCCTTCTGGCGTTCCGGGCAGTAGGTCTGTGGGTCTCGGCGTTCTCGTTACCGTGGGTCCGGCAGCTTCTTTCTCTCCCTCCCCAGTCCCCGCTCGATTCTGGTTCGTTCCCTCCCACTCTTCCCTCTTCCCTCTTCTCATTTCAGTAATTATAGGATTGTTTGTCGGTCTGAGGGTCTCGACCTTGAATTTGTGGTTGACTCTTAATGATTTCACGGGGACTAATGCTATGAAGATGGAAGCCGTGATTATAGGACTGTTATGAATCTCCATTGTTTGCTTCTTATTAGGGAATAAATTCATTAAAATACCTCTGATATCATTGTGGAGTCGAGTTTTGAATCTGCAAGCTATGGAATCAAATGATTTCATCCAGTTTATATTTAGATATAAATTAGCGTGTTGTGTTTTGGATTTGAATACCAATGTTCAGTTGTTCTCTTCAAATTTCCTTGCTCTTCTACCCCTGATTTATGTGTTTTAATCTGTTAGAATTTTTGTTGTAGGTTGTATAAGATATTAAATCTTGGATATGGATGAACGTATTGAGGATTAATTTGTTTTTATTTAAATTATATTATTTTACTATGATCGGTGTGACTTTATTTTGACACCCAGTTCAACCGGAGCTGAACCTTTGACTCCTGACCTTGGCCGGGCCGGTCCAGTTTTCAGTACCTTGGTGCTTAGTTCACGCCAGTTCTCCAACCATCTCTGTGCCTCTCCCTCCAACTGTCCACTCCCAAGCAGCTAACCCACGAGGCAAAGACTCAACTAAAGATTCTTCCCTCAAGCGGCTTCCCAAGGTATCTTCCTTTGGGTGTCTTTTCCAACCAAAGCTCCAATGGGAGCTGTCTCTGGACCCTGTTTTTGCCTATCGAAGATTCCCTTTGAGGATTTTAGATTCTGTGTTTAGTGCACTGTTGTGACTCTATTATTGAGCTCACTTTCTTGTTTTGATTCATTTTGATGGGGATTTGATAAAAAATTTACGTTGTTTGTTCTTCCGGATCAGCAGTCAGACAATCACCACAAATCATTTATGAGCTAATGTTCTGAAGGGGCTGCAGGGATTAAAAAACAAAAATACACTGTAATTTTCTATTTTTTTGGCAGCCAATGCAACAAGGGATGGGGCAATTAACTGAAAGTCGGAATAGTCTTTCCTGTAAAGAAAACTTCTCTGGGCGTGTGTAATTTATCAATTATGCAATATGTGATTGTGAGTGATGTTATGGTCTTGCAAGGCATGGGCTAACAGTCAGAGAAAGTATAGAGAGAAACCCAAAAGAGAAGGGTGCAAGGGAAATCGAAAAACAGAAAGAAATTGATGAAAGTGAAGGCCACAAGGGGAGAAAGGGAGGTGCTTGGGAGAAGGGATTGTGCGTGATAGAGACATAGAGAGAACAAGTGATAAAGCCAGCAATAGAGGAAGAGTGACAATTTCAATTCAAGTGGGAATGGAAATTGTAGAATCCACAGCTCCAGTGGCAGAAGAATGTGAGCTCTCAATTCCAAGGGGGGGGCCTATATATGTTCCGAATCTGGTTGGTCCCTGCACTAGGGTTGCTGAGTTTGAGAATTCCGTCATCTGTGAACTTCAGGTATGAATCTTCCCTTAATCCTTGATGCTTCTATGCCAAAAATAGTGTGGGAGGTTCTTGCTTCTGCCTCACCCTCTTACACTAAATGTGTACTATTTGCTTTGTTCGTGCAGAATTTAGAGGCAGATTTGCATCGAGACACTTCTGATCTGTATGATGATGATATCTCGTGCGTATCTCTCATTTGCTTTGTTTTTCTTTCTTTTTTTCTTTTTGTTTTTTGTTTTTGTTTTGTCAGTTGTAATATGTTCCTTCTCTTTTGCCATTTCAGAATTGATGAGCTTAAAGTATATACGGAAGAGGAGTTAATGAATATGGCAGTGAAGACAGAATTAAAGGTATGGTGAACAATTCGATTTATAGCTCTTCGTATAACTGTCCCATTGCTTATTCTTGTGCTATTCCAGGGTACAGAGAACAATGAAAATTATCCTCCAACTTTGGACCAATCTAATGTAGGGTGAGTAAAATCTAGTGCATAGTTGCAAGGTGTCTCAATTGTATGTTATGTTTTCTTTAGGACAATTCGATTGTATTCTACTTTAGCATTATTGCCTTTGACAACTTTAATGAGAGAAAGGCAAAAATTCTCAATATTTTATTTAAGTTCTTTGCCTGTCTAATTTCTGGTCTCTCTTTCTCTCTCTGAAAGTTTCAGGTATCATTCTGATTTATGTAGTGAACTTCATAAACCAGTTAAAATTTTATTCTTGCATCACAGGGCAAAGATAATTTATTTTGAACGCCTTATCCTGTCAATAAAATTCTCTAACTGATGAATGTACCTAAAAGCAGTAACTAAACGCCATATTGGTTCTAAATATGCATTCGAGGGGAAATATATCAGTTATTGCATCAAAAATTCAGAATGTAATATATTTTATTTCCTTCCTTACTATACCATTGTCTTCTTTGTTTGTCATGATGGAATTTTATTTTGTTCTGTTAGACATGGTGTGAGAGCCACTGAGCCTTCAGCCTGGTGTTGATAAATGCACTATGTGATTGTGAGTGATGTTATGGTCTTGCAAGCTCACTATCATGCTTATGAACTTACTTATTTCAACTTATTATCCTTCAGGATAGAACATGACCACAGAATATCAAGCAATGGTCTTACTTCATCAAATATGTCTGGCACAGGATCAGATGCTCTTACATTGTTTGAGCCATCAAATCCATCATCTAGAACTACAATCAACAGAATTATGATGGGAAAGAACTCAAGGAGAAGAAGAAAAGGCACAAATGCTCTATGTGTTCAGGTATGTTGACTTTCTAAAGGCTGCATGGTTCCTGGTTATTTTTTCAGCTTATAGCATCTAACTCTAATCAATGTAAAAGAAACAGAAGTTGATTTGATTGTTCATGCTGTCTCTTATCTTGTATTGTAAATGGAAATTATTTGCCTGAATATACCAACTATATCTTTCAGTATCTTGTTTGATTTTTCTACATTCATTCCCTTGAGGATGGCTAATCTTTTCTCAGCTGGTAACTTATGATCATAAGGATATGAACCAGTTCAAGTGAACGTGATAAGTGTGTCCATAGCCCCATAGTAGTGTGTGTATTTAATTCCATCGGCAATGTGATTAAATTTGCAGATAGGTTGGAAAGGTAGACTAAACAGTTAGAATCTGCTTTTACATATCTATTATGGAAGTACAATTGTGCCTGCTCTTTTTTGCATGGACAACTGAAGTGTTGAATTTTGACACCTTCACAGCACGTTCCTGAAGTATTACCTAATATACTCATGCACAGCTTTCTTTTTTCCTTGTAATAGATATGAGTTTACTTTTGTTGAATTCTTTATGCGTTTCTTATATGTTATAATTGACCAATTTCCAGGGTGGTTGTACAGAAAAGGTGGATGAAGTTGTAAAAATCAAGCAAAAGCAGGAAGAGGACAAAGTGGCAGTCAGACTTCATTCATTCAAGTATGTGTTTTGAATATATGTATGATTTTTCCATTTCCATATTAAGTTCTGACTTTCAGTTGTCTCTTGTCTAGTCCTGCTTGCAAGAACAATCAATCTGCCCTCAAGTCAGCTAGAACTGAAACAATGAGATCCCTTAGGTCTACAAGTTCTTCCAAAAAGGTTAGTTTGAGATTCTCCACTCATCTAATGTGCTAGAAGTTGTTTTGGGTTCATTTTGATGATATATATATATATATGCACACACGTACATACTTTATAGATGTTATGCTTTTATATTTTTTTAATTTGTTTTTTTTTTTTTAATGTTATAGCCTTAGAATATTGGATCATAATTCACTCATATGAGGCTATTACCTGCCACTGTCATTTACCCTTCATTTTCAATTGAAAGTAAATCAACAGATATACAAGATGACAATCTTATGAGAAATTGAATCGCCAACACTAACCCTTAAAATTTGCAACTTGACTTTCTTACATAATGAATATTGGAGCTTTTATTTTTCATTTGATGTTTAGTCTTTTATCCTTTTTATTTACCTATGATTGAGTAATTAAAAAATGAAAAAAAAAAGATTGGAGGAAAAATAATGTAAAACTGGGGAAGGCAATCAGTATGTCAGGCCAGTTCTGATCAGTTTTATTGCTCCTTTGCACTAATACATCGGAGAGTAATTAGAGGATGATTGATTTTTAATTACCTTCCGTTAATACCCTTAAACAGAATATAAGATGCTAATCAGAGAGAAACAACAGATACTAATGTATCTGTCATTGAAAACACAGTAATAAAAAATTGCACCCAATAAAGGAGAAGCTTAGTTTATGTCAGCTCAGGCTTCTTCTGTGGGCTATGATGTCCAATAAAACTCACTGGTGAGATGTAACTGAGATGACAATGTAATTTGAAGTTCTCTCATGAGAGGATTCTTGTTTCATGCTATGTCTGTGCCGTTCTTTTCTGTGAATTTGGGGGAGGGGGCTGGGGCATTACATTGATCGGCTTATCTTTTTCTTAAAATAACTTCTGGTGCTGCTAGATATGTTCTTCTCTCCGGTTCAAATGAACATTAAACATGTATTTATATTCTAGATTTTATCTTGGAGATGATGATTTTACAGCCAACTGTAAATTTTCCCAAACTTGAAATCAATCATTTGTGATGGTAAAATTTTTTGATTCGAAGATGACAACCATGCTTTTATTGTCTACTGAACACTGTTGTTATCTTGTAAATATTTGCATCCTGTCTACTCACACCGGATGATTGGATTTTCGGAATTTTATTTATTTCAACTGATTCTTATAAATTTTTGGACTATCATGGAAATTTAGTACTTTCCCCCATTGACGAAATATAAGAATTAATATAGTTTGAAGAAAACTCCTATAGGAAGAAACCTAGACCAGTAGCTTATTATCATTGTATTTTGCTTGTAAGAAACCTATCTAGGAAGAAGTAAGTTACTTTTGTGTTATTTTAATACTTTTATAAAGAGGGAAATCTGAACATTAGCTTTATCTAGCCAAGTTATTAAGGTTCCCTTAATTGGTAGGGAAATTTAGTTTGAATAGATTAGGCTTTGCTAATGTAGATTTGATGAATGAAATATTGTGATTGAGTTCCTGAAGCCCTTCCCCTCTCTCTTTGCGTCTGTCTCCCTGCCTTACTTTGCCGCTATTTTGTTCTTCATCTTCCTCATTTCTCCCTCTTTGTTTCTGGTTTTCTCTACTCTCCCTCTATTCAGCCCTGTGCAAGTGTGTGTGTCTTACATCACCCATCTTTCATGTCGTCGTTTGTTCCTGATCGTTCTTCCTGATTAATTTTTGACAGCTTAAGTCAGAGGGTCTTCAGGAACACATACCTGTGCTGTATCCTGAAGTTGTACTAACTGTGGAGGTTTACCATAATGTTAGAAAGTGTGTAAAGGTATTTTAATGCAATTTTTTATGTCAATGACGGTAATTTATCTAACGTGTAACAATTATCTTACATTACTAATGACAAACGATGTCTTTTTAATTAGACTCAAGAATTACTGGTTATTGGAGGACAGACTTTAACTGCTTTAAGGGACAAGATCTTTTGCTCAATGGATCAGGTGATGCAAAAAGCTGGACAGCATGATCCTTCTGGCTATTTTCTCATTGAAGTAAGCACCTGTACCTGTCCTTATGATCAGGGGGTTACTTTTGGGTTGAATCTAACTGAAAGCCTCTTTTCTGTAGGATGTATTCTATGTTGATATGAGGGATCCGTCTGCTATTGATTATACCTTTCCCATATTTGATTGGCTTAGAAACTCCAAGGAGGAGGCACAAAAAAAATGGGATTGTATAATAACTGGGGAATTAAGACAAAAACAAAAAGCAATCATGGGTGAAGCATCTGTCTCACAGCTGCCTCACTTAACATCTGTTAACATGCAGAATATACGATTTTGTGACATAAGATTCCGACTTGGTGCTGGATTCCTCTACTGTCACCAGGTATTTTTCTAGCTTTATGTCCTTCATTTCTTAATTTCATGAAGGACATAGACTATGCATCACATGCCTGGCTGAAAAACAAGTTTCATTGTATTCTAAATTTATATCCAATTATATTGTAATAAGTTTTTATTAGACTTATTTAATTTTTTTTATTTTTCAAGTTTAACAAATAATATGGGGAAATTTCCTTTTTTCCCCCTTTTTGGCCAAAATTAGAGAAATTTCTTTAATGTGAGGGTGGGAGGACATTCTATAAGCATTGACTAGATTTTTTGTCCTATGGATATGAGAAAAATGACACGATTTAATGGCAAAAGAATGAGACTATTGATGCATATTAATTAGAAAAGAGACGCCCTTTTTTTGTGTCCTAATTCGGTCCCAACTGAGATAATGATTTATGGAGCCATTCTTTGAAGTCTCAACCTATATTGATTGTCATTACTCAGCTTACCCTACCAAATCTTCATCATATACATGTTATTTTTATTTAGTAATAACTTTTTTCTCTCATTTTTATCTTTTTCTCATCTACTAAATCACTTTTTTATTTTTAATTTTATTTCATTCTTGCAAATCAAGTGGACTTTTAGTTTGGTAAGAAAGCATGGTAATTTGTTTATTTGCTTCTAAACTTGCAGGGAGACTGCACTCACACACTAGTAATACGAGATATGAGGTTGATTCATCCTGATGATGTGCATAATCGAGCTGCTTATCCAATAATTACTTTCCAACTAAAGTTGCGTTTTCAGAAATGTAGTGCTTGTAAGATTTTCAGAGCTACGAAGGTCACTGTGGATGACAAGTGGACCCCAAAAAATCCTTGCTATTTTTGTGATGAATGCTTTTCTCTTCTTCACATAGCAGAGGATGGCTCTCTTTATTATGCAGACTTTCTGGAGTATGATTATCACCATGATTAGCTGCCCTCAGCCATACGTTTAACTCATCAATTGCCAAATGGGATATCATGAAGATCTATTGGGATTTTTTATTTGATGAGAAGCAGTGAGAGTTCTAGGCATCTGTTTTGCAATTCACTAGAATTAATGAAATGATTTGTTTTGGTTTGAACAATTTGAAGCATCTGTTCAAATTGCAAACGAACTGGATGCTCATCGCCTCTAGTTAAATTCACATCCAGATAATCTATGCTGTCAGTGAGGATTACTACTTGTACTCCCAAAAATAGAACAAAAAAAAAAAAAAAAAACCACATTCAGATGGCTTGTCATTTTGGAACCTCCTTTTGTTGCTTTGGAAGGTAACTTCTTTAGGGGCCCAGTGCAATGGAGATTATATGGGTGCCTATTTAAATCATCTTGTATCATATTGTCTGATCAGCATCTTATTGCAAAAGATGTGAAATCGTGCCAATCTATAAACATGTGGATCCTTGTTACAGGGGGTTTTTATCTATATATATATATATATATATAATAGAAGAATAACAAGCATATCTCTATGGATGACAAGTGTTATTTTCTTTAAATACTACAATTTTAGAAAATCACGTAAGATTTCATTTACAAAATTATTTTTAACTCATGAATATAATTTATTTTTATTCCTTCATTTTAATAACTTCTTATCACATGATCTAATAATTTTCTAATTTCATAATTTTTTTTAGATATAGTTAGTTATTCAGTATTCAATCATTTTAATAACTTTTTTGCTCTACAATTTAGTTTTTTATTTTTTTAATTCATGCATATAATTAAATTTAAATATAGATAGTTATTTAGATTATTCATTTCAGTAATTTCTTAACTCATGATCTAATAATTTTTCAACCCCACGATTCCTCTTTTAGATATGGTTAGCTATTTAGTATCTTATTATTCTGATAACTTTCTTACTCTACGATTTAATTTGTGATTTTAAAATTCATGCATGTAATTAAATTTAAATATGGATAGTTATTTAAATTATTTTATCATTTTAATAATTTTTTAGATCTATGATTCACGTAAAATTTGGTGAGAATATATATATATATATATATAATAGATAAATAAGAAACACTTTTTCAAGTTTGACACGAAGGATTTTTTTTAAATATTGCAATTCCATGCTTTTTACATCATTATTAATTTTAAAAAATATTTTTTCTAATTTATAAGATTATAATTTGAAAATGTAACTTCTCTCCTGATTTTAAAATCTCAAATATAATTTTCCAACTATTTCACAATTTAAAATTTTATTTCTAAAAATTTTATCTTTAATATTCTCTCTCATAATCTCAGATATAACTTTTTGAGTATTATCATTTCGTGAATAATTTTGAATTGGTATGACAATTCTATGAATAATAATTTAACTGATTTTTTGAAAATTAAATTATATAAATACACAGATAAAAACTGAATGATAAATGTATGAATTAATAAAATATTTATAAGTTATCCATGTCAACATTAATTTCTAAAAATAATTTTTTACATAATACCAAATTTTTTTTATAGATGATAATAATATTATCTTAAATTGTAGAAATCACTTCCTTTTATCCCTAAATTTTCTCTCCAATAATTTTATCCATTATCATAACTTTCCAACTTTTTCACCACCTAAAATATACAATTTCAGCATGCACATTAGATTTTCTATCAAATCTTCTTAAATATTTAAAAAGTATTATATTAAAAATTAAATGAGTTATTTTAATTCTTATTTTCTTTCATTTCTCTCCCACTCTCCTATCATCATAACTTCTCATAATTTTTTTTATTTTTAGTTTTAAAATTTTAATTACACAAATACACAATCACATTGAGCAGTTATAAAGCATACGAGATTTTCTTTCAATCCTAATATCATTCAATTGCTCTATTCCCTCATCAAGACAAGCAAAATCACAAAACTCTCATTATCTCTGGCTTCTCCCTTTGTCACCAATGCCCTCTCACCCCTTGTATCATCTTTTATGATGATTTTTCATTCCTAATCAATGGTGTGATGAGGTTGTTATGTGTTTGTAGATATCAAAAGAGCAATTCAATTTTTGATATATTTCATATTCATGGTAGATACCAGGTAATTGCACATAAGCGTACATTTTGTAATTTTTTTTATTGAATTTTCCTCCATCATTCTAAATTTGTCTTTCATAAGCAATAGAACTGAAAAAACTTACTATAATCTATTTTCGTGAAATTATGGTTTCATAGAATTTAATTTTTAGTTTTGGAATATTTATTATAAATTATATGATGATTTGTTAATTATTTTACAACTCTGCAGGTATATTAAAATTAAATGAAGAGGAAGATATATATTGACATGGTTCTTCACATCAACGCAGAGTAATTTTTTTTCTATTCTTCATATATCTTGGCTCTTGGGCATCTCTTTATAAATCTTTTTTTTTTGAAAAGCGTACTCATAATAATTTACTCATAGTGATCCAAATTTCTTAATTTGAAATGATATTTTAATGATCTATGTTTAATTTTAATTTTTATTTGAATTATAAATGTCAAATGAATTAATCAAAATTTAAATTTTAAAATTATATATAATTTGTATTTAAAGATAATGACTTAACCATCAAATTTGTGTTTTGATCTTGATGATATTTTATATTATAATATCTCAATTACAAGATTTGAAAATATTGATATTTGTGTTGAAAATTAAATTTTCAATATATATTAATGTTTATTTGTTGATATTTATAAATCATAAAAATTATAGTGCTTCAAAAAAATTTCTACCCTCACATGATTTAATAGAAAAGATGGAGCCATGCAATTTTTATATTTACCTTATAATCTTAATTTGTCATGGATTATATGTGAGAAAAATATTACAAACTATCTAATTATTAGATAAACCTACAAATGATAAAGGAAAAAAAAATTACAATATCAACACAATAAAAATAATAAAGTATATTGTCATTTACAAAAAAGATATTTCAATAATTGTGGGGTGTTAGACTTGATCAACTATGGTAGCTTTCCTATTAGAGTGAAAACAAAACAAAATAAAGAACATTGGTAGATAAGTCAAAGAAAAGAAGTGAAAGGTATGAAAAAAGAGGCCACCATGATTTTGAGTATTTGAAGATTCATGATGAATTTTTTAATTTTATTTTTATAATTCTACACTCATTTTATTAATTAATATTGTAATTTATTTTATGTAAACTCTTTTCATTTGTATTTATTAACATTCCAAAATAAAATTATTTTAAATTATAAAAATACACCGTGCATTACACAATTACCATACTAGTTATGTATAATACTATGAAACAATGTTGTTATAAACATAATTGATTGGAGTAATGGTTCGTTAATCATGTTTTTACCAGTATTAATTAAAAAATAAAATTCAAATAATATGTATGGAATATAAAAATATCTTAGATAATATTCATCCTTATCTTTTTTAGTCTACTTCTCCAGGTGGTCAGAAAAGATAAAGTAAAGGTGTAAAGGGAAGCTTCTAGACCTCTTCATGAAATAGTGAAATTTTAATATGTTTGTCAAGATTTCTTGTTATAATTTTTTCAATTTTTTTGGAAGTAATTATCTTTATTATTTCTATTTTTATCAATTCCTTTCCGTCTTCGCAAAATTCTTTCTGTTTAAAAGACATGCTACTAAGATTTTTCTTGCTCCAAAGAAAAGTGGAATTAGAAAATTTTCACTCCCTCGTTCCAATCATTATCACGACACGATTCTTTGACCAATAATTGGAAAGATTCCTCAAGCATTTAAGTGGGCATAACGCTTAAAGGGGTTTTTATGGTGCTTTTGATAATCCTTGTAATCAAGTTGAATTCTAACAAGATGATGATCAGAACTACATTTAAGCAGATGGTAAGTACTAATTCAATGAAACTTAACTCTTCACTCTGAGTTACAGAAAATCCAATCAATTTTTTTAAAAAAAAATATTGCTTTTCTTCAAGGTAAATCTATCAACAATAACAACAACAAACCTTATCCTATTATGTGGAGCCAGCTATATAGATTATATAATGTCATTGTACTTTATTATTTATTAAGCTTTTAAAAATATTGTTCATTAAAAGGTCTCACTCAACAACCTCCAAAAATGTTCTATTCAGTTTTCCTCTATCATTTTTAACAAGGCCCAAAGTCATCTTTTTTAATTTTCTCATAGGTGTCTTATGTCATCTTTTTTGTACATATCTAAACCACCTCAAATGATTTTTTGCCATTTTTCTTTCAATAAGTGCAACACTCACTTTTTCCCGTATTTGATCATTTCAAATTTTTGTCTTTATACATATATATATATATATATATATATCTGTACATCCATCTCAATATTCTCATTTCTGCTACTCCAACTGTATGATCTTGTCCCATCAAAGCCCAACATTCACTACCATATAATATTGATGGTCTTATAACAGTTTAATAAAACTTTCCTTTAAATTTATTGGGTACCTTACGATCGCAAATAATTTCTTTAGTATTTCTCTAATTAAACCACCCAACTTGTATCCTATGTACAATATTTCCATCAACTTTTCCATTATGTTGAATAATGGCTCTTAAATATCTAAACTTTTCTACTTGAGGTATGATCTGATCACCCAATTTCACTTCTAAGTTACTACTTGCTGACCCTTTATTAAAATTACAATGTAGATATTCTATTTTACTCTTACGCAGGCGAAAACTTTTTGACTCTAATGTCTTTCTCCATAACTCAAATTTACAATTAATCTTTTCTTTCTTCACAATAAGAATTATATCATCCGCAAAAAGTATGCATTTAGGGACTTTCTCTTGAATATGCTCAATCAAAATATTTAAGACTAGATCAAATAAATAAGGACTCAAAGATGATCCTTAATGCAATCCAATCTTTATAGGAAAGTCTTTTATTTCACCACCAATTCTTATACTAGTTGTTGTCCCCTCATGCATGTCTTGTATAGCTCGAATATAGGCATCCCAAACACTCTTCTTTTCTAATGCCTTTCAAAGTACTTCTCTCGATATACAATCATAAACTTTTTCTAAATCAATAAAAATCATATGTAAATATTTACCTTTACATCGATAATTTTCCATCAATCTCCTTAGTAGATAAATCACTTCTGTAATCGCCCTATCTGGCATGAAGCCAAACTAATTCTCATAAATATCAGTTTCCAATCTCAATCTATGTTCAATCACTCGTTCCCATAATTTCATAGCATGACTTATAAATTTAATCTCTTTGTAGTTAACACAATTATGAATATCTCCTTTATTTTTGTAAATAAGAACTAAGGTACTTCTCTTCCCAATTATTAGACATTCTCTTGAACTGTAAATCTCATTAAATAACTTAATTAACCACCGCACCCTTTCTTCATCCAAACATTTTTACATTTCAATAGGAATACAATTAGGTCTATTGACTTTATCATTTGTCATTTTCTTAATATTTTCCCTTACTTTCCCAGTTCATATTCTTTAATAAAATGAAAATTTTTGTTCTCTTTTAGGAGTTACTAAATCTTTTAAATTAATTGACAAACCCCATCATCATTGAAAAGTTTAGAAAATCTACCATCATAGAAATTTAATTCAAGGTTGAAGGAATTGATGCGATGCCTAAAATGTTTTATTGATCTCCAATTATTTTTTTCCATTGTCACCATACTTGTCATCACCTGAGAGATAAGAGTTAAAATTGCCAAATTAATTGACAATTTTAAGGAATTGGGTCACCAAAAACAATAGCAAATAAGAGTTATTGCTAGATAAAACATTAATCTTACAATGCAGCAGCAGTTGGATATTAGAGGTAAATATAATCGATATTGACTTCTTTAGCATTCAAAGCTAGGAAGAGCTGGTTTTCAGGTTAAATTGAGTGGACGGCTATGATTGCGTCCGAGATTTACGGCTGAGGGTTATTTTAATTAAAACGACGCCATTTCAAGGAAGAAGCAAATAGAGAAGGGAAGCGCAGGTTTCGGATGCAACAGAAGTTGAGTGAAGCAGAGAGCCTCCAATGTTGCTTGGTGGTGGCTCTCGAATTTCACATCATCTCCGAGAATGCGACCTCCGTTTCCACTTGAGCTGCAGATTTCGTTACTACAGTTCCCAAATTGTACAGCTTTCCTTCCCATCGCCTCTGAATTCTTCTCTGCCATGTCTTGAAAAGCAAATCAGACTGTCTTCATCTTCGTCGTCATCGTCATCATCTTGTTATTCCAGCATTCCATCCGAGTCTTTTGATTGTTTCAGGTTCTTTCTTCCCTATGATCAATTTTTTTTTTTTCCGTGGGTTATGCTCTTTTGTGAAGTTTGTCTGTTGTTAAAAAAACAGTCGTTTTTAATTTTTTGAAATTTGGTTGGAACCTGGTACATGTGAATAAAGTTCCAAGGCAACTCATGACTGCTTATAATCAGATTCACTCTTTTGTAATCCGTGTCTGAATAACGGTCTAAGCAATTTACTCAACTGCTTAACTAACTTATCTACTTATTAACTCCGACGCATCCCAAAACAGCCCTTACTTTCAAAGATTTGAGATGAATAATTCTGATATAGCTGCCGCAGAGACTTCTACGTAGCATCATCGAGAGCAGAGTACTTTTAATGAACAAAAATTTTGAGAGGGTTGTTACTTTTTCACTTAACGTTAGCAGAATGAAACTCATGGGTAGGCATTGATCCAGAACCAACTTCCCTGATCATCAGTTCATCAATCTCTGGTTGCCCAGTTCTTTTTTGACAGAGAAATAGGCTTCATTAGATATGAAGAGAATTACAAGAGAGGAGGATAGGACAACCTTCTATAAAGAAAACCCAGAAAAGGAAAGAAAAAAAACAAACTTTAAAAATATCAAAGCCCTTTAATCCCTAGTTTCATTCAAAGTGATTCAAACAAAACAGTGAAGGGAATCAAGAGATGTAAGCACAGCCTTTACTATAAGGTATTTAGAGTCGGCAATGCATTATTACAATCTCTAGCATTCCTTTCAAACCAAATGCACCTAACCACAGCAGAGACTGTTTACCTACGGTCAGGTTTATAACTTTCTGGACACCATTAATGAAGGCCCTTCACTCTCTCTTTGTCCAGTTGTCTCCTGAGAAGGGTGTTTCATAACAGGGCTGTTAATTCCTTGTGTGGATGTTGCTTTCCAATGAAGGTTGTACTTAGTAAAAGAGGGTGGAAGTTCAGAGGGAAAAGTAGTGGAATAAATTTCAGAATACATATGCAGCAGAGTCTTTGAACTGAAAGAAGTAAGACATGGAGAATGAGGTGTTTTGGGAATTTGAAGGAGAGTTCTTACACAAATCATTAATGGTGGTTACTTGTTGCTCTTAGATTAACTGATTAAGCACTTCACAGGAACTTCAACTTTTTTTTTAATCAAATTGTTTTGCGCTAATCCCTCTGAAAAGACAGCTAATGACATTCGGGCAGCATTCGCACAGCAATACTTTTTAAACTTTTCTTGGTACTATCATTATTTTCTTGTTTCAAATTTGCCGGGTGATCAGCACACCCTTTTCTGATGAAGGAAAAGTAATGTTGATGCAAATAATCAGGAAGAAATACTCTTGGGCTCCAATTATGTATGATAGAGTTACAAATTCCAATTATTCACCTGCTATCTATCTTCGGTGGAGACTGTTCTTGTAGCCCAGTAGTTCAGAGCCCTCACATTGTTTGTGTGAATTTGAAAGAGGTGATTTATCGTAAGCTTTTGCACATTTAGTTGTTCATATTTGAGGTTTAAACTGCTGGGCAGGAGCTCTGATTACTGATCAAGTAATCAATTTACATGTTCCCTGATTTCCCCCCTTTTAATTTTTTTATTGCATGTTGTCCTTTCCTTTTCTTCTTTTTTAATCAAGATTCTGATTCCCTTTTTTTTTTTTGGGCAAAGCCAAAGAGAGGATGATCAAGAAGTTATCTCCGATGGATTATCACCAATAGCAGGTTTTTAGTCACTCTCACTGTATTCTTCTTTTGCCATTTCTCCCCCACATGTACGACCTTATAGATAATTATTTTTTTATTCCTTAATTTTCCACCATATCTTCTGGACAGAAGAGTTATGTTTGATGATGAAGTTTATTGGTTTGTTGGGGTTTGGCTTGCAGTAATCATTTCTTGCCAGAAAGCATCCCTGTGGACTTTTTGTATCTTTTAGTTTAGTGTCTGTTCCTTTACATCTTGTAAATCCTTAGGCTTTTCACTTACTGGCCCCTTTGGCTACATAAGTGATGTAGGGGTCTAAAGAAAGACATGCAGAATCCTTAGTTACATGCTTGCAAGCTTGCTTGTATGCTCAATTTTTTTAGCATCTGATTGTCTTACTCTTCTTGCGAATGTCAGAAGTTTATCTATTCCTTGTTAGGAAACCACTTTTCTTAATGTGGCTAGGATTATCCATTTGATGAAACAATTACTCATGATGTCATGAGCCGAGCAAGAAACTCAAGGGAAATTTCCAAAGCACTTTGTTGCCTCTTTGAAGCATTGAACCTTGAAATTTTCATAGCCAGTACTCCATGTAGGATGGCAGAAGATTGCAATTTATTGCATGCTTCTTTTAGTTGGGCGTAGTTGGTAAACCTCCCATTTAGCAAGAAATTTGTAATGTTTATCTTGTCCTTGAAAGAAGAAAACTGATTGTTGTATTTGGGCTTTAATCAATATCAATATCATCAATATATCTATGAAAGCTGTGGGAAGCCATACTATTTATAAGTTGTGAACAATGTAGTTTATCTTGGACACTGTAAATGCACAGGGCCTACCCTGGTTATAGGAATTCTTACAAGCATATGGTGATGTTATGACTATAATGGGCCTATGCCTAAAATCAGTTGTTGGAAGAATGAAAAGATGAAGTGAAAGAGGTCTGTGGGAAGTGAATTAATAAATTGTGTCATGACACATTTTCAAAGTGTCAAAGGGAAGGCAGTCAGGGATTAGCTAGCCATCTGCCATAGTTTTGTTTCTCTCTCTCTCTCTCTCTCTCTCTCTTAAAGAAAAAATATATTCTTTTTGAAGGGTTGTTAAGGAGAAATCGACAGGGAATGCAGGACAGATCCTAGTCTCTTTAAAGCTTGGGAGTTTTATGTGCTTTCTTTTCTTTAATCACTTCTGTGTTTCTACTTCTGTCAATCTCTTATATTGCTGTTTTGGCCTTGATGTCTGCTCTGTTTTGGCCTTCAGATTACCAATAATTAGCAGCGATTCTTTCTAGCTACTCACCATTAAGCATTGTACTATTGTGGAAATAATTTGATGCCATCACTGCTTTTGTTTAAGTATAATGATTTATATCATGATAATTTTCGAAATTATCAGAATTACCTACATTTTAGGGAATTGTTTTCTTTGATAATGTTAGCGATCTGTATTGAAATAGGGAAATCAAATGTAGAATAAATAATTTATACTGCTTTTGTTGGTTAGATTCTGTAATGATGGTTTAGCAATAATAGATGGTTCTGTTGAACCTTTTTATTCTGAGTTTAAGCCAACGCATGCGTACTGTTGTGCCTATTCACTTGTTAGCTAAAACAAATTGACCTAGTGACACAAAATATGAGCAATATTATTCTAGAACGAAATAAGTTGCTTTTGTGTTATCTCCTCTCCCTCTCTCTTGCTTCCTCTACTGTTCTGTTCTCCATTCTCTTCTCTCTCCATTTCAGTTTCAGTTTTTCTCCCTAGTCTCTCCCTCTCTTTGAATTTGAGCAAGTGTGAGTGTGCGTTACATCACCTAGCCTTGTTTTTAGTTTTTCATTTTTGTATTACTTGCTGGCTTTTAATTCAAAAATGAAGGGATGTGAGGGTGGGTCAGCAGCTTATTATTGCTTTAATGGTTTGTGCTACTGCTTATCAACTTGCTTGAACATTCTCTGTACTTTTAAAGTTGATCAAAGGACTAGGATATACTAAAATGGCCCTTGTAGTTGGGTCCTCAGCTCAGCTAATACATTTTTCTTATTATTACTCTCTAGGACTGAAAATTGTAAGAGTTAATTGCATAAAACATATCACTCATGCTTGTGACTATTTTGTTCCAATAAAATATTTTAGCCAATTGTAGCTGTCAATTAAGCAAGTGCTTTGAGTTGTACCAGATTTGGGAATGCTACATTACTCTTTTGAGAATAGTTGGAATCTTAAGTTACAATTATATGCAAATGTGGTTTCCTTCCTCCAACCCCTCCATTCCCCCCCCTGTTCATCCATTACATGCAAATTTTTACTATTGGCTACATGTTTTATATATGTTTTATATAACTCTATCTCAATATCTTAATAACATTTATATGAACCTATCATGATCATTTCCAGGAGGAGTTGTAGCATTGGGAAAGTTTGATGCATTGCACATTGGTCATCGAGAGCTTGCCATTCAAGCATCAAGGGCTGGGCCTCCATTTCTTTTATCATTTGCTGGAATGGCTGAAGTACTTGGCTGGGAACAAAGGTATGATCCAGTACAATATTCTGTTAAATCCGTTTAAAGGTTTCTTTTATCAGTTTATATAACTTGAAATATGCTTGGTTGTTCCAGTTGCACAATCTTACACTTTCAATTGGTAGTTATAACTTTACAATTGAGAACAAGAAAATTTTGCTACATGGACTAGATCAAATATCTAGTTAGCCATTGTTCTCTGTCTGTTTGGAAGTGGGCGAATGTTTACATGTTACCTAGCTAATACTAGCATTCCAAAATCTTTCTTGTATGTGGACTAACAAATATCTAATTCTTGAGAATGTTCTCAACCACCACTACTGTATTTTGAATGATTAGTGGAAATAGTATAAACTCGGCTAAAATATAAAGAACTCCGCTCAGCTTGAAATCATCTGCACATGATTCCCTTGACCATGAAATCTTGATGAACTCCCTTGAACTTTCATTTGGTATGCACATATCACCATTCTGTTAATAACTTCGTTGAATCATTAACAGATAAGTGCCACTTCAGACATGATAAAAACCTTGTGGCATCTACCATGGGAATATAAACAATTTTTAATATTTATTCAAGTCACCTAAGAGTCCATTAAAAAAAAAAAACCAAAGAAAGAAAGAAAGGGTTTTACTAAAATGCACTTCATTAGCATCAAAATGTCTTCATTGTCATAACAGAGATGACTCTTTAGTTCTCCATTTTTGCCCCTTTAATCCATCTGGACCTTCACCCTCTATGCAATAACTTTGTATCTTTCTTCTCTACTTCATCACTTTCATGCTTTCCTGTTTACGATTTCTTCTCTCTTTCCTTCTATTAATGAAACTTTCAGGTAGATATCCAAAAAGTGTGTTACCAGACTGATTTGTATAAGAAATTCTTGGTGATATTGCTTGCAAGTTTAGAACAGCTGTTTTAATCATAGAAGTGAACCCTTTAGTTCCTATTGTAATAGATTTTACTGGCTTTTGTTTTCATGTAGAGGCATGCATACCTACAGAATTTTGACCTCACTTCCTCTTTTCATGTTTCTTCTTTCCCTTTATGCTGAAATTGCTACTCAGCTAAACTCCAAGGGTCATCTAGAATCAAACTGATGCCTTGGTGAAGGAAGTTGAGAAGAATTTGTAAATTGGGAGCAAGAAAGTGATGGATTGGAGAAGGAAGAGACAAAATTATTGAATGGAGGGTGAAGGTCCAGATGGATCAGAGTGCCAAAATTGGAGAACGGAAGAGTCTCCTTTATTTTGTTGATGAAGACATTCAGATGCTAATATAGTGTGCTTTGGGGGAACCTGCCCCCCTGGGTTTCATGGACTCTTTGTAGATATAAAAATGTTCATATTTCCATGTTAGATTCGACATGATTTGATTATGTTATAAATGGCACTTTTCTGTTTATCATTTAATAGAGTGATTAACAGAAGGGTGTTTATATGCACACAAAAGAAACTTTTAAGGGAGTTTATTCTCAAGTTTTGAAGATGAAAGGGATTCTGTACAGATGATGCAAACTTCAGGGGAGTTTTTTATATTTTAACTTAAATGCAGATGAAGCTGCCATTGTGGTCCATAACTGGGTACGAGTTGAACAAGTTTGGTTCCTGATCTTTTCATATTGTATAAAGGATAAAATAACTTTGTTTTATTTCTTGGAATGAAGTTATCTTCCAGCATTGGAGACTGAATTGATAGATATTTGGATGATTTTATCAAATTGGTTATGGTGCAAACGGCAAAATATCTATTTCCTCTAATTAGCATTGCAAACCCTTATCTAGAGCTGCCTTGGCAATAACTTTCACACTGTCTGAGTAACAATGCAATTGCAATGGCATTTTTGTATTCATTTAGAGAAACTTGTGACAATAGGTATGTATTAAAGATATATAATTTGGGTTATAGATGTTTTGAGTTCCGATGAATATCTTTTGGGCAATGTCCTCCTTGCTAAAGAGCAGTTTCCTTTTTTCTCATTGGTTATGGTAGGCTTTCAGATTTTAGAGTAATGAATGAATGTGTTGTAATTGGGAAAAGAGACAATATAGGCCATCTTTTTAATTACTTCCTAAACAGGGCTCCTGTAGTTGCCAAGTGCGACCGGAAGCGAGTGCTGTCTTCTTGGGCTCCTTATTGTTGTAACATGGTCCCAAAAGAGTACCAGGTTGAGTTTTCAAGGGTGAGACATCTCAGTCCTCGTCAATTTGTTGAGAAGCTATCAAAAGAGCTCAGAGTTCGTGGAGTTGTTGCTGGTAAAGTAACATTTCCATATTGTATCCTAACATCATTCTCTTCTGCATTTGATGTGGTTACATGCATACTATTTCTTGTAGTATAGGGAAAGTCCAGTACTGGAATAAGAGGTAATTATATTTTCTGATAGATTGAGTGTGGTTCTAATCTGGACCTGTTAATGGCCAAAAAAACTTCTGGATTTGTTATTACTTATTACAAAGTCTGGTTCTTTATAAGATGAACATCGGAGTCCAATATTACATTTGTAATTTGAAGGGTCTGGTACTTTCTCCAAATATTCGAGGAACCTATGTCTTTTGAAATTGAGGGGGGAAGGTTTTTGAATAGAAAATGTGTTACTGGAGAGTGGGACAAGACAGCTTCCTAAAAGATAGAAACCTCAAAAGAAGCGGGAAGGAAAACAATAGGGGGGAAAATGACACTAGGAAAGTCACGAGGGAGAATTACGCACAAGTTTCTCACAACACAAATAAATACTATAAGGTTTATTGACAACTTAGTATAGTAGAATGACAATTATTGTGTAGGAAGAGATACGATCCTTGCCCCTAAGTCATTTGAAGTTGTGTAGGAACTGCAAAAAATTTAGCATTTCTTTCTAAGAAAATACATTGAATCATGAGGAAAACAACCATGATCTTTATTTCTTCACTAGTGAATATAATAAATCAATAAGTTCAATTTTTTTGACAATCTGAATCTGAAGAAAAACTTCAAACAACTCATTCCTAGTGTTGTGGCCATTCTGCAATGCAAGAACAACGGTACTTTCAGAGTTATTCCTGCACACAAAACTAATGTTATGTGGCAGTGCCCTATTTGGCCTTAGAATTTGCAGCACGTCAGTGGTATATATTCTGTTGAATACCACTGTCCACACACAAGATTTCACTCGCAGGGAGTTTAAGGTTTGTCTGTTGAGAGAAGTAATGAGGAAATCAAGGTGGGACTTACAAGAGAAGGTACTAGTTAAAACCTAAATCTAGGGTCTGTTCAAATAACATTACCACGATCTTTCCTATTGTGGTAAGGTGCAGTTTTTTTGCAGTTTTATATTGCATATCTACTTCATGAGACTGAGATAAACGCCTTTAATGGAGCTTGTGGCAGGCGAGAACTACCGATTTGGGTATAAAGCTGCTGGGGATGCATCAGAATTGGTAAAGCTGTGTCAGGATATGGTATGGAAGCTTACGTAATAAAGTCTGTTATGGACAAGAATCAAAACCCTGCAACTTTTAGTACCAACAACCCAAAAGAGAAAGGACAGGTGTCGTCTACCCGTGTCCGGCAGGCTCTTGCTGTTGGGGATATGCGATATGTCACAGAGCTTCTAGGTCGACAACACCGTGTCGTATTGACGGCCACTGACCCAGAAGGATTTAGTGTTGGTAATTTCAAGTTTTCTGCTCCTAAATCCTGCTTGATGAATCTTGCACCAAAGGAAGGTTTATATGAGAATTGTTATCTTTTCCTTGATCAAGACAGTGTAGTGCAGTGTAGAATAGTTGTTGACACCGAGTTTGTGCATGTAGAAGTAGCTGACTTAGGTCTGAGTGACAATGTCAGGACTCAACATTTTCAGTTGCTGCAAATTGAATTTGCTGGTTCCAGTTCTTGATGCTGTTGAAAATTTAGCATTTTATGCTCAATTTGATCTTAGCTATGGTATAGTTGTATCATATTCCCAAAATTATTGGGATTCAACTGCTTTATATGTCATGAAGCTGATCAAAGTAGCTATGGTTTAATGTTCATCCTGTTTCTTTCACTCTGCATCTATTTGATAAGCTCAAGTGACTCAATTGTTTGTTTAGTCAAGCTTCAAGTGTGGTTTAATCGAACGTGCTGAATATTGTTGTATTTATTATATTGTTTAGACCACCCAAAAGCCCTGTATGTCATCTTGGCAGCGTCGATCATAATACTCTGTAGACCACCAATTACCAAGAAAACAAGAAATACAAACACGTTTGATTACTTGTTTTCAAAACAATATTTTATTTTGAAAAGGGGGGAAATTTTGATTGAACTTTTGGAAATGAGTTTTTTATTATCTTTTTTTTTGGGGGGGGGGAGTTAAAAGTTGTTCTGAAAAATTAAAAGATGAGAACATCTTTTTTTTTTTAATGTTTTGCTATTTCTTGTTTTGCAAAATTAGAGAAAAGATAGAGTACATATTTTCTTACATTTTTAGTCCTTTAATTTTATACAAAATTTTATTTTGATTTTTTAATTTTATGAAGTGTTTTTTTAATCATTTAACTTTAAAATGTTGATTTCATCACAAAAAATTTTGGTTCTTTAATTTTATAAAATGTCATTTATCTTTATATAAAGTTTAATTTTAGTTTCTTAATTTTATAAAATCTTTTAAGTCATTTAACTCTAAGGCTATTAATTTCATCACAAAAATTTGCATTAAATTCTTAAATATTGACAAAATATGACATATTAAGTTTAATTTTTTTTAAATAATAATGATTAGCACAGAATAATTATTTGAAATTAATGGTATTAAAATTAAAAGATTGAATTATTGAAATGATATTTTATAAAATTAATGAACTAAATTGAAATCTCATAAAGTTAAAGGATCAAAATTATATTTTAGCATTTCATTAATGACAATTATGTTAACAAAATAAATAATTCATTCATCCTTTAATCAATCTATAGAGTTTTAAAAAGATAAAAATAGAAAATAGAATCAAATAAGTCGATATATGAGACAGATTTGATAATAAACTTCAACCATACAAAAAAGACGAAAAAGAATTCAAAATTACTTTGTCTCGTACCAATTTCTATTTGGTATTCCGTATTTCTTTGGGTCACAAAGGTGGATGAGTACGTAGGGCTATCAATTCCGGGGGTCAGCATTGGTCGTTTTCTTTGTAATGATATTTGGGCAGTCTAAATTAGATTTGAAGAGTTTGAATTTAAAATTTTTAATAAGAATTTATTTTTTGAAAAAGATATGCTAAAATATTAGCTTTATTTTATATTTTATATTGAATAAAATAAAAAATTATCACCAACATGCAATGGGAGCGAAGATCTTGGATTAGGAGGATTTTCTTCAAAAATTATTAATTTTAAAAGCAATGTAATAATTAAAAAAATTAATTATATATATTTATTATATTACTAGGCTTTGAGCTGGAGTGTTAAAAATTTTGAATTTGAGTCTAGAGAAAGAAATACATGAATTTAACATTCAAAATATTAAAAAAAAGGACGCATAATATAAAGGGAAAGAAGTGCAAAATCTAAAAATTCATACCCATCATATGTAATTTTCTCAATTAAGGGAGGCTTGTTGCCACTGTTAATTGGTGTGGATAGAAGAATGAATTATGACTGCTCAATTATGATTTTGAGTTTAAATCTGTGTAAATGTAAAAGATATGCATGAAAGACCTCTTTTTGACCTCAAATATTTTGTAAATATGTAAAATAAAATGATATTAAATGTGGAGGATTTAAAATTTTAAATTCTCTGAAATTGATATCAAGTGAATTCATGGAATTTTCCTATTTAAAGAAAAATATTTTATATTTTAAAAATAATACTAAAATGAGAAAAAAATACTAAAAAAAAAATACAATGTTAGAAGATTTAAATCCAAATAGGGATGGTCCATACGTTTCGAGACTCATCCGGTCATCCCCAAATTTTTTGCCATTTTGTGCAAATTGCTGGCACCACAAAATCAGCCTAAAATACACAAAAAATTCTAGAAACTATATTAAAATTATGTAAAGTTATTTTAAATATATCTTTCTTTCCTTAAACCAAAAAAAAATACACATCGCTTAATTTAATATTTTTCATTAAATTACTTTAAATTACATTACCTACTTATTTTATTAAACTCTAAAAAAAATAATTGGTCAAAAACTTCGAAGAAGTGCCAAAGTTTAGGTAAATGTTTTGTACAAAATATTTTAGATGAGATGTGTATTGGGTTAACAAGAGACCAGGGTCATCATGTCAAGCCAGAATTTTTTTGAATTAAATAGCATTTTAGAAACATAATATAAATTACATGCTAATAAATTCCTTTTTATACCAATACTTATATTTTAAATAAGAATAATTTTGACTTTTAATCGATTTGAATTAAAAAAGATAGTTTAAGTAGCTGGTAAAGAAAAGAGAATTTAAATAAAATATCAAGGTATTTATTTTTTTATACTGTTAAATATAGGTAAGTTTGACTTTGAGATAGGACATGTTTTTAAATTTAAACATACTTACAAAAATACTTATAAGTTTGTTATCGACAAAATTATCTTATCAATAAAAGATTTAAATCCATGATCAGTGAATCATTTGGTTAAATTTTTATCAATTGGATCAAGATGTAGGATCTAAGATTATTCATGGTGCATCAATTTAGCTGCAACCTGCAAGGAAAACTTTTTAAAAAAAATATTTTCTATCAGTGTCTGGTTTTGTTGCATTAACCGCAGGTAGTTACAAAACATGGAAAACGACAAAAATTAATGCTTGCATGGAAAGAAAATGATATATGTCTATATATATATATATATATATATATATTAAAAAAACTTGAGAGAGAAAAAAATTTTGTCGGCAAAAGTGACATGACATGATTAATTGATTCTTATGTTGAATTTAAAAAAAAAAAAGCTTTTCCACCAAAAAACAAAAGCTTGAGTGTCACACTTTTTTGAAATTTGAATTTACCCGAAAGTTTGGGATAATGCCAAAGTTGATGGGACCTGCTTTGCACCTTTGTATTGATTTGGTCTCTAGTCTCTGCCTTTTTTTTTTTTTTTAATTATCTCTAAGGATTTCTCATAGTTATGAATAGAATATCATTAAGAAAAATTTAAATAATTTAAATTTAATTTATACAGCTTAAGTTTTTATTTTTTTTAGTATTGAATTTTTTGACAGGAGAAATATTAAAAATTATATTTTATTATTTTTTAATCTAAAAAATTCAAATTAAATTGATGTCAATTAATTCATATTTTAAAGGCATAAGGAGGCTCAATGAAGTCATCAAACAAAATCAGTGCACAATATATCTAAAGAGCTGAAGTTGAATAAAAATAAGTACTCTCTTCTCTGAAAAATGTAAAATATTTTTAATTAAATTTAACTTTAAATAAAGTATTTAATTATCTTCAAACTAATATTATATTTTGATATTTACTTTTATTCAATATAATATTTAACTATAAAATAAATATAAAAATATTTATTTGTTATTCGCACTTTTAGAAAAAAATATAATAATTTTACCTAAAATACTAAAACTACCTTATATTTTTAAATATTTAATCTCTCAAAAAATGTCTTATATTTTTTAATGGATGGAGTACTCCTTTGATTTTATTATATTGGTCTTTCTAAAGTAAAATTTTTGTTCCATATTTTAAAAGTATTTTTAATAATACTTTTTTACTCTTACTATAAAAGACTAATATAATAAGCACACATAGTATATGTTTAGAAAATAGTAATTAATGTTATTTTAAAATTTTAAAATGAAAAATAAACAGATACATAAATTTTTTGAAATTGGTGACAATTAGAAAGAAAGGGAGGGAGCATCAATTTTTTATTAGATAAGTAAATAAATTCAGTGTTTGGATTAATCCAAATAAGGGTAAAACAAAATTATAAGAAGGGGACAAATGAAAAACTGAAGTCAACCAATACAGAATTATATAGAAAGTATAGAAAGCCATCTTGGACTTTATTCAAATTCATGGAGCCTAATTTGTCTGTGTAATTTATAAGAAGATATGATATTTATAAAATTGTGGCTTATTTTTCAAATCTAGTTTGAGTTAGTGTTTTAAAAACCAAATCGAATGTAAATTGGAAAGGCATTTTTTATGGATAGGCTAATAGTCAAACAAGTAATGTAATTAAATAAATAAATATAATTTAGATATAATAAATTAAATAAATTTACTGTATTTCATTTTTATAAACACAAGGGGTGGGATCTCCTGACACTATAAATTATTTCCCATAACGTATTAAGAGTTAAAAATAGATATGAAATGACATTAATAATTGAATAGTAACTCAACTTCTATTCAATTCGATTCACCATAAAAAAAAATTTTTGGTCTAAATTGAATTGTTAGCCAGTTTGGTTGACAATTCATTTAGTTGAGTTCTTAAAATAATCTGGACACTCTCTTTGTATTAATTTATAAGATACTTTTAAAAAGATTTAGTATCTCACAATATAAAACACTTTGATTGATAAAAATAAGATTTCATTGACTATACTTTTCTAATATTATCTTTCTTATCATATTCTATCTCTCTTTAAAAAAAAAATTCTCAAATAGTTTCCATTTTTGAAAGTTTAATGTTTTATTTTGAGAAAATAAGATTGCAAAGTTTATTTAATGCCTCTTTATTAGTATAGTTAGTTTTATCTAAACATATCTTACAAATTAAAATGGATATAGTACTATGCTGGAATTGGCTTCTTTCCTCCTATCTTTTCCACCGTTAGATCTCAACTTCAATGGTTGAGATTTAATATATTACAAAGCTTGGAAAAAAAATTATTTTATAAAATATTTTTTTCTCACACATCTTAAGCTTTCAAGTAAATTGGGACGGACTCTACGTAAGGTTGGAATCTACAATTTTATTTGAAGAGTTTTAAGTTATTCTTGTTTGTTATGATAACTACTAACCGCACGTCCGTTAATCTTTAATATTCTCATCTCATATAGACCGTCCTAAATTAATTATAATATTTTTAAACAAAATCTCATATAACAATAAATCTTATTAAATATACTTAGCAATTTTATTTTTTTCAAAACAAAAACATAAAATTTAAAAATATTCTTTATTTAATAAATTGAAAAGAAAGAAGTGCATAAATTAAATAGAGAGAGATATGATAATATTTGAATAAACCTTTTACTTGTTGCCCAAAATATCCCTATAGCTAGAGATGAACATCAGTCAATTTGATGGCAAAGTATATAAAATTAATCAATCAAACAAAGATAAAAATGAATCTAATTAAATAGAACAAAGTAATCAAACTGAATAAGAACCAAACCTAAATTTGACAATTTGATTTGGTCAGTTAATTTAGTTTGGATTTCATGTTGAACTACTTGGACTTGGGCTAATTTTTTTTTTTTACTAAAATAAACAAGACTTATATATAAATTGGGCTTGTAAAGTGATAGCAGCTTATTTTAATGAGGGATTTAGGTTTCAACTTCTCAAATTATATATTTACTTTTATTTAAGTATAATATTAAAAAGAGTAAAATAAAACTAAAGTAATTAATAAACTAAATATAATTTATAAATTAATAGATTATATATATACATGATAATTTAGTTAATTTTGTTCTATTCAATTCTAAATATTAATAAATGAATCGAATCGATCAACTAAAATATTTTTATAAAAAAAATTGAATCGAACTGAAGAATTAAATAAATTGAATCAAATAACAAAAATTTGATCTGATTTTCAGTTTGGTTCATTTTTGCTCACACCTACCAACAGCCAATATGAGGCTAATTTTTTAAAGAATTTAAGTGTCATTTAAAAGATTATTCTCTCCTAATATTAAAATAAATTTATTAATAAAACTTTAATCTTTTTAAAGTAGTTTATATTTTAGAATGCTGATTTTTTTTTAAAATTGTTTTATAATTTGCCACGCAAGGAATATGACTTTCTGTATTTCCGTAGGTGATTCATGGAAGGAATTAATGAATGAATTCCCAAAATCCCGGCTTTCAACATTGGCCTCACAATCTCTATACATATGTCGTTTTTCTCACGGCCTCAATTGTTTGATAATGCAGTGCATTATTTATGAGTCATCCTTGTCGTTTTTAATTCAACCAAAAATATTTCTAAACAATATTATAATTATTATTGATCACCATATTGGGCACAGCATCACAAATAAACTTGAATATATCCACTTTTAGGTTTTAGTGTGATGGGGACAACGTGGTCAAGAAGGGTACGTAGGTTGAGGTTTCTTAGAATACAAGCAAGAATTTAAAAGAAAATTACACCATTTTCTAAAAAAATTATTGAAACTATATAAACTTTACTTTTATTTTCAAAATATGTAGCGTCTATCTGAAATAAAATATTGCTTTAGTTAAGCGTTCTATTTTAATTTTGGGAAATCGCACTGTAGCCCTAAAAAAAGAAAAATTTATACTTTAGACCAATACATTCTAATATTGTGCTTCAGACTCAAGAGCTCTTGTTGTTATTTTTTGGGAGCGAAAGTATAATTTTGCCCTTTGTGTAATTTGAAAACTCAACTTGTGAAAAAACTTCATCCATAGTACAAAAATATTCATGGAATTGTTTAATATATACAATGTTCATGTGTGTTTAGTTGATTTGTAAGTTAAAATATACAAGTCACACAAAACATGTATAACAAATATATATAGATGCACAACATGATATTCATGAATTGGCAATACAATATTCATGTGTGTCCAATTAATTTATAGGTTAATTAAAATATACAACTCATGTGAATCATATA